TAACTTGGGGTCCATTGGATTACTTGCAGGAAATTAATATTTTTTTCAGTGAGAATACCTTTCTCCCTTGTATACACATACACACATTGCAACAATAAAATACCGTCTGCTTCTGTATAAAAACATTATGGGAGTTAACATATTTTTGAGCCAAACCAGCACATTCTTGAAGCTGCCTGGTGTTGCAAAAGTGAGGGGGAAAAAAGGGGATAAAATTAAGGAATGAAGCTTGATTTATTCTGCTTTATCACACACCACCCACCCACAGATATTGCATGTACTGTATATGGATCAGATTAAAGGTAGAATAATCTTTCATAAAAATGCTGTTCCCTGCACATATTCAAAAGATGAAAATGTTAAAATCCTCAAAACCCAGTTTTGTAATAAATAAGTGACTATCACTACTAAAGATCAGTTTCTAGATCTCGTCATATGACACACTTACCACAGCAAAAATCATATATGAGAAGTTTATCAAACAAGTTCTCACACTACTACATCCATTCTTTATCTATTTGCGGACATATGACTGTAATGCATGACAAGCTATAGCTTCTCTTATATGAGGTTCACAGACAGGGTAGTTATATAACCGGTACAGCTATGACGGTATACAGAGACAGCCTGGCTGGCTGCAGAAGGGTCCATTCTAATGAGAGGGCGGTAGATTTTTAAGAAACAGTGTGAATCAGTGATCATAAAGCCTGTACCAGACCCATGAGAAACACTTAACCACAGTGGCAGGTTTTTATACGCTTTTTCATTATTAAAAAAAAAAGAGGGAGGAAGCGAGGACATAGGAAGATTGCTCAGCCTTGTTGTTAGGGTGTTAGTGCAGAGTTTTTCCACTAGGGCGCATCAGGGACTGGATAAAGACAGATGGGATTTTTACTGACGTATCTGTACCCTGAAGACTTTGTGGTTAAGAATAAACAAACAAAAACAATTTGATCTTTAAATCAAAAAAGTACTGAATTTTCCCAACAATATAAAAAAAGAAAAATCCTGTAAAAATTGCTTGGTCTTACTTTTCTAACATTGAATAAGAATTCTGTATTGATTTGGAGTGATAATATGGATGCAAATACAAAAGTCCTGAATTTTTTAAGAAAACTGTGTATGTTTTATATATATAAGTATATAGGTAATCCTAAAATGTGTGTATTTCATAATGAGTTGGTTTCTTTCTTTTTTTAAAAATACATTAATCTCTTTGATGTTTATTTATTTTATTCTCTTCCTAAATTACAATTATCGACTGTATTTGATTAATGTTTTTTGCACCTGATCCTTTTAGTCTATTGTCAAAAATATGTCCCCCCAAAAAGTCTGCATGTCTTTTATTTCATATTTTGATCCTTATTTTTAACCCTTATTGTACCCAGTTTGTTAAGATTAACTGTCAAACATAAGCCCTTCATATTCTATCATATAAGGCTTAGCTGGAGGTGACCAACTGATCTAAAATGATATGTAGGGAGGTCATCACACTCCACAGGGTTGTTTACAGATAGGTTGCTCTGCTCTCTGCTGCTTTACATTGCAAATACACCCGTGTTTACATTTGCTTCACACTGACAATGGTCACTATGGGTTACCTTGAGTCACAACACAGGTAACCAATCAGAACTCACAAGGGGGGCAGTTCTCTGGGTAAAAAAAAAAGAGGAAGCAAACTGACAAGGTCTGAAGGCAAGAAGAAAAACTAAACCTACACTGATCTAAAACCAATGTGGCACCTTCCTTGGTGACAGTGTATTCTCGAGAGGAAGCTAATCCCAGATCTGTACGCACATGAAGGTTCACTGTTTGCCAAAAGGGTTGAGAACAATTTCCGTTCCTCTTCTGGATCCTGCGGCCAGCTGCTGCTGTCAGACACATGCTGTAAACACAAGGTAAGCCCACTGCTTCTTATTCAATAAAACAGGCCCACTACTCTGTATAAAGAAGAATAAAGCTACAGAAAGTGCTAGTCGTGTGTTGAATGCCATGTGCTGAAAGGAAAGTGAAAGTATTTTTCAGAAAGTGAGTGTGAGTTTTTCAGCGTGGCTTTTTGATACATTTTAACCACATTTGTTTTGTAAAAAAGTACAATTTCGCTGTCAATGACGGCTAAACCACAAGCATGTGTACACAAGGACCCCCCAAAAAAAGAGGTGTGTTGTGACCACCTCCACCAATCTCCTGCTCTCCACACACAGACACCATTTTTCACTGTGTTCATTTAACAAGGCCCGAGAGCAACAAGAAGGGCTTATCAGCAGCTCCCTCGCTTGCCATACTGTTATCAGCCTGGCCTAGTTCACACACACACAAATGTACACACTCTCTCCCCATTTCTGTCAAACACAGCCGCCGCACTCTTTCTATCGCTGACACTCTCACACACACATGTACGCGCAAACTGGGGAATGAATGTTATGGGGGGCTTATCAGTGTCCTTAGGGGCCTGGCAACCACTTCACAGACTGACTCAGATCCCAGAGCCGAGGCCACAGAGAAGAACCTATGTGACCGGAGTGCTGATGAACAAAGGCTGTGTGCTGTTCAGGGACTCCTCTATAGAAGCAGCAGGCTGCAGGGCACGCTAACAATGCACATACTGTATGTACACACGGCACAAAGGCAGGCAGTAGTGGGCTACCACTCGAAAAAAAGTAAAAAGAGCCAAATATGCAAGCAGCTTCGTGTATGTTTATTGATAGTAAAAAAAAAAGAAGCTTGGCACTTTGCCATACTGTACACATAGAACCGGATTTACAGGTTATGAAGTGGAGAGTAGCTGTTAATTAATGTTGTTTAACCAAACTTGACATGAAATTACATTCAGAACACACAGGGAAAAATCTCAGTTTCTGTAAAACATTAAAAACATGATTCATATTAAATAATCTCCCTTTGGGCTGCAACTTCAAAAGAAAATCTAGAATAGATATTGACAAAAGCCTTTGACTTTTTCCCAATGCCCAAAACCCAACAAATGAAGATGAACTACTATCTTAGTAGACTATTGTATTCACATTTTTTTCAGCTTCAGCTGTAATCGTTCCACCAGTAAAGCTTTTTATACAGCATACAAAACATAGTAAGTAAGTAGAGAACTCCTGACATGTCTTACTTTTAAATTAGAAAGACGAGACATATTGTGCTAATTCTTAGGCTATTATTTGTATTTTTAGGTTTCAACTAGATCATGTTTACATGCTTTGTTTTTCTCATACTGTCCGTCTGAATATACCCGTAATCCCCTCTTTTCTGAAACGCTTCGTTCAAGCGCCTGTCCATTTAAGACCTTGTCCGAAAAGCACAGTCAAATAATTCTCAAGTCGTTAATGGAAATGAAGATGCTAATTAGCCTTCATGTGACATACGAAGTAAAGCCAAGTCTGAATGGCTTGTTTAATTTTTCTGCGGCAGTCCATAAAAGAGTGTTGGGTTTTTTCAGAGTTTGTCATGGGTGGGCACTCCAGAGAGTTAAATGGATGTGCACAAGCAGTGAAAAAGAGATTTTTCATAATAAGTTCCCCCTTTTAAATATTTAATCATCACGAAAACTGTTGCAGTTTAAGTTAATCTTTCAGTTTCAGCTCTTATCTCTGCACTAATAAAGCTTTGCATATTGAATACATTACATTCAAACAAAGGTTTATTTATCCTCACTAACTTGAAAACAATGCTCAGAGAAACTATCCTCTGTTTAACTTGTGTCCTAAATCATTGAGCACAAAACACATCAGAGGAAGCTGAAAAATGTAGAAGGCCATTGCTGGCAGATGATGTTGGCAGCGGTTTGGCACAGGAACTCAGGAAGCGGTGCCTCCTAAACTGAGCTGTGCTTCCTGTGTGATAACTGACCCAAACATGTTGTGCCTCCATCTCACACTCTCACACACACACATACACATATAGACAAAAAAGCGCGCTCAGAAACTGTGAAACTATCAGGACTGTTTCAACTTGATGTAGCAGCTCTATGATATTCATCTCCTTAGAGGCTTTGGCTGCTGGTGTTATCTTCAGAAGAGGAAGGTAAGCAGGTGTTGCAACAGTGTTTACAACTTGAATGTGACAGTTGTGAGGGGGAGGGAAAAGAAAAGAGTAAATTCACCTAAAGGTTAACTTAATATCAGAGGTAGGTACAAGCTTAAAGGGATTCATGTTATTTGAATTGTCCGATTAAAAAGGAATTGGCCAGAGGAAGTGAAGAAAAGCAAGTGACGGGTAGGGAACAAGGGGGGGTAGATAACGTTTTTTTGTTCTAAACGGCCGATTCACAGTCATGTTGGAATGTGCTCATAACGCCCCTGAAACCTTGAACGTCGTGCAAAGACATGATGTTTTAAGTTCAACGCCAGCTGCCTCCCCCCTGCTCATACCACACACACAGACAGAGCACACATTGCAGTGCAAACGCTTCCTTCCTGTTGCTGGTTTAGCCTCTTTTAGAGGCAAGATAAGAGCAAAAGCATGATATATATCAAGAGGGAAGTTTAGTGGGCTGTTTTCCCCGCCCTCTCAGATCAGAGTGACCAAATGTTTTTTATTCAGACATTTTGTTTGAAAACTGGCAACCACCTGATACTCACTGCAGGTGTGGTACACTCACTTTGTACGTGTTTTTGTATCAAGCAGCTCACACATTTCCTCTTGTTTCTCTCTTTTGCTATCTCGCAGGTTTGGTCAGACCACAGGGTTGTTTAGCAGCCCCCACTTCCTCATCGAGAGTCGAAGCAGAGCACCAGCTTCCTGTGACGCCTCTGAGTCTCTGGTCAATTAGTTTACGCACATCACTGCTGGATTGAGCCGCATGGAAGAAGATCGGCCTCATCGTTGCATCCTGTGTGGGGGTTTCTGCTAGATCTGCACTGGTATTTGAAGATTCTCTTCAAAAGCTGGATCTGTCGGGACATACAAACACATTCATTAGTAATCTTCATATGACAGCTGTGATGCTGTTTTCACGCAGTTAAGGTTGTGTGTGTTTGGAATATTCGGCCATGCTACAGCAGTCGGAGCTCATCTTTGACTTTGCTAGTGACCATGTTAACATGTCACAGGTAAGAAACAGTTTCTCTTTGTGTATTGAAACTGAGCACACATCTAAATCCGACAAATTGTAATCTGATTAAATCTAATCTGATTGTCTTTTTGTTGCAGTTGGGGCCTTACTCGGATTACCCTGCGGTGATTGTGGAGCAGCTTCCCCATCCACACCTGCTCTCATATGGAGGGCTAGCGTGTGAACAGTCACAGCATCACCAGCAGCTGTTCAAAGGTCAGTACAAACAACACAAACACACAACCCCGGCCTTTCTTTACCTGTTGCTGCACATTTGTTTTTATTATTTTTAAATCTTATTTTAATTTGGGAATACCTATCAAATATGCTATGTTAAGCTTGGAATACACCATTAGAATAAGGATAGCCTCAAGGTAACTGGAGAAACCTAACAACTCAAAAGGGCCCCGGAAGAAATGTGTTTATTCTGAAATCTATTTATGAGGATACAGAAGGACTTCCTCCTGTGAAATCTAAACAGAGTAGTAGCTGAAAAAAAATTAGGCATCAAAATCTTTCTGAAAAGACATGGTTCTATTTATCTTAGCTTCTGAGGTTACTCAGGTAACAGAAATAAGAAAAGTGTTGTGTTAAAATGGCATTTTAGCTAAGGTAAATCATTTGTAAATCTTGAGTAAATAAATTAAATTGATCTTTATCCCATAACTTCAAAAAGTCATCAACGACTTGGCTCTAATACCACTTGTTGACTCAAACAGCATAACTACAAATAGTAATCGTGTCATCAGGGTGTCTTTAAGACGCCTTGTTACAACTGTGTGTCCTTTTTCAATCTCTAAACGGCATGCCCTGTTTCTGTTTCTGTTCTGATGTATTATAGGCAGTGGTGTATGGTAACTAAGTACATTTACTCACGTACTGTACTTAAGTACAATGTTCAGGTACTCTTACTTTACTTGAGTATTTCCATTTTCTGCTACTTCTACTCCACTACAATTCAGAGGTGCATCGTGTACTTTTACTCCACCGCATTTATTTATTTATTACCTTTAGTTACTTTGCACATTTGTATTAATGATGTGAAATATAATCAACACTTCAATCAGACTGTAGTCACACCTGGAGTAAATACACAAGCTACCCAGCAGTATACAAAGTCATTAAAATTACCAGCTTTGATAAACACATTAATGCCTCAATAATTATAATCAAAACCTGTAATGTATATTATTCTGAATCTGCATAATGACTACTTTTACTTTAGTATTCCTACACTCTGGTACTTCTACTTTTACTAAAGTACAAGATCTGAGTACTTTTCCCACCCCTGATTATAGGAGGCCTTTTGTAACACCTTATCCAGGGACTACAGGTGAAAATAGACTATGCTGGCTTTCATTATGTATACATGTACCATTTGTATTTCCTCATTTGCATGTCATCCGATAGTCCGATGAAGTTACTATTATCGGTCTAAACTTTATTCCTACTATATTAAAAGTCCCACTAGATGTATACCATGGATGTATAAGAACATAGAAGAGAAGCAAGGGATGCACATGCGCAGTCGCAACCCTCGCACATGGATGAAACACCCTCGGCAAAAAAAATCAGGAAGTGAAACAAAACATTCCTGGCTTGTGTTTGGGATAGACCGTTAATGAATCACATAAGGATGTAGACTTGGTCATGTCGGGCTACAGCACACATGCTATAGCTAGTTCCTCACCCGTGCTGGAAATTAAAAGTAAGTTATATCACTATATCGTGTTGTCTTTCGACTTTACTCCAGTTAGAGCAAGCAGTTGAAGTTGGGCATGGCAAGGCTCGGGTAACAAGCTAATAGTGAGTGTCATCGCTTGCACACCGTCATGGACAATTTACTTCAAGATTGCAAAAATGTTTTTGGGGCAGCAACTTACCTGTCGTGTTTGTATAAACATGGCTTTCTGTTTTGACATATCGTATGCTGGTTTTATCGGCGGCAGAGCGTGTTTGAGCCCACGACACACAGCTGTTAGCTAGCATATGTTCACTAGCCCACCGCCTCCCAGCCTGTTCACGTCACATACATTAATGCGCAGAAGACAATTCACTCCCTTTGATGATATTAAGCTTCGGGGACATGCATGTGGCAAATAACTACGCTGATGTGTGATAAACTGCAGAAGCCCAACGATGCCAATATTTTTGTTGAAGTAAAAACAATATAAGCAGTGGTGGAAGAACTATTCAAAATCTTACTTTAGTAAAAGTAAAGAAGTATTATCTGCATTATGTACTTTTAAGTATTAATTATTCAGGAAAATGCCCTCCATGTGTATTTGTTATTACATTTGAGACAATATTAGAAACTATTCTTGCATCAAGTAGCATTTTACTCAAGTAGATACATGTTAAAACCACTTTTTTGTAACTTAAACAGCTAGGCAATTTGTTTATTTTTTAGAAGATGCATTCTGTTAACATTTCTGAAAAGTTGCTAAAAATGTTGAATAAAACAGTGGGGTAAAAGTACAATATCTACCAATTAGATGTCTTGGAGTAAAAGTATAAAGTAGGCCACCTAAACAGGGCACACACTTTCATACCGATATGTGCCAGTTTTAGCACCTCAACCCTAATGTTGTGATTGAGAATGTGTTAAAACTAGTTAAATAGCAGAAAGGTCTGAAAAGTAAGCTAAAGGATAAACAGTGTATTGTCCGATTTCTGCCTCTGCCAAGTGGCAATTGCATTAATGCTAACTTGCCCAGGTCTACTGTCACAGAAAAAATATATTTGATTGCCATCTTGCACGCGTACATGTTTGCGCAACCGTAGGTACATTTTTGCAATAATTTTCTCTGTGGTGGACTACTCTTGAACAATTCCAGGAAATCCCAACATATCAAGATGCTTCATCACATCAATGTTGCTTTCAACCTTTCATAAATGTAATTCAGTTCTACCTATTTGTATTGGGGTAGCAGGACAATGTACACAGCCACTTGCGCTGCTTACTAAAACCACCTGCATTGTTAGATATCTCTAGCTGTGAGAGGATGTTTCTTGTAATTTGTCTCAACCTTAAACCTCTGTCCTCCCAGTTTTTCTCATGTTGAATTATTACTAAATAAATGCCACCCTCCTTCAACTGGTAATAAAATGTTTTTGTTTGTCACTCCCTTCTCTATTTCCTGCAGTGGAGCAATATGAAAGTGGAGAGGAAGAAACCATGGAGACACTTGTTGCTGCTGACTTGCTTCTTAACATGGACTGCCCTGACACCTTGTCACTTGAACACTACTGTAAGCACACACACACACAAGCACACACACCTATGTTAACATACACATGAACAGAGTGAAGATGAATAAAAGTGTGCCGCTGCTTTTTGATGCAGGACATGTTTGACTGCGCGTTGTTATTTTTAGACATGGTGGTCACAGTGCTGTTCTCTTTCATTAAATCTGTTTGTGCCCCCCTGCAGCCCAGACCTTCCTACCGTCACTGGGTGATGTCATCACAACTCCTGTTACCCAGGTGACCGTCTCAGCAGAGGGGATTGTGGGAGCTATTGACCAGCAGCAATGGCACTCGCTGCACACCAAGAAGCCTGTGTCACAGCTGCAGTCAAAAAAGAGAGGTCAGATACTTTCAAACGTTATTGGCGTAATAATAAATAACTGGTATTATATCAAATATCTTGTAAATGACTTCTGCTTTTGTTCTTTCAAAAACTCAGCGAGAAAACCTCGACATAGAAGGGCAGAGTCTCCAACACCGGATATTGTAGTGAAGAAGGACAAATACAACAAAGGTATTTTCACATATGACACCATTGGGGCCCTATTATGCTTTTTGGGGTTTTTCCTTGATATAAAAATTGAAATTTCACTAAGTCAGCCCCAGTAAAGTTTCCATAACACATCCGCCCAACATCAGTATCGGCCTATTGCCTCAGCCTATCGCCTTGTTAAATGCAATCGGCAAAAATCTGAAAACAAGATGCCATTCGCAGATAGCAGTGGCTGATATTAATCTTTTGTGTGGCAACAGTTTCCACCTAGTAATGTTGTTTTACACGAAAGTGTGTGGTATTGGACAAAGCTCGCATGCCTAGCTACTGAGCAGAAGCCACTCGCTGAACACGACTCATGCATGACCTACATCGTATCAGGTGCCAGGTTGTCTGTGGCTTGTTTAGAAAATAATTAATGAAAATTATGGTTGGGTTGTATCAGTCAACGTTTTTCTTTTAGAAATGCATGATGAGAAGAGCAACAGGAAGAGATACTCACAGTGTATTGTATAGCTCGCTAAGCATAACTACTTGTAAAGCAGGCTAAGAAGACCTCATTTATTTATCAATTATTTTTAGAATCTTGTGTATGTATCTTTATGTGGAAGGTTGTTTATAAATTTGTATGATTAAAATGGTGGTCATTCCAAGGATAATGTTATTATATTTGTATATAGGAAATGCCAACATGGGGATCATCCTTGATTTATACTGGCTCAAGTCTGAAATAAATGCTGCCTGAGTTACATTAAGGCCGCTGCGGTACATGCTCAGTGAGATGAAAGAAACCAATGTGCATCCCAGGGGATCAATAACTCTTCAACAAAACTTTTACGACAGTAATTCCTAATGTTGTTTCTTCGTCTTTCCTTTTCCATCATGTTTCCTGTGTTTGTGCTTCAGGAGGAAACACACTGTACCTGTGGCAGTTCCTGATGGAGTTGCTCCAGGACCGACAGGTCTGCCCCCGCTATATTAAGTGGACTAATCCCCAGGCGGGCATCTTCAAGTTAGTCAACTCAAAAGCGGTGGCCAGACTCTGGGGCAAACACAAGAACAAGCCAGATATGAATTATGAGACGATGGGCAGAGCTCTTAGGTAAACTACCAAAAGAAGTCTAATGCTGCTTAAAAATACCAACACATGCTGTGTCTCAAATTACGTACTTCTGAACTTACATGTGCTGTTTTTAATACATAAGTGCATCCCAATGTTAAGTGTGGTAAATGCCATTGGTACTCGGATTGTGCACTCGTAACATTCCAAACGTTGAGTGTGGAACGCTGGACACTTCTTGCACTAAACAATCACAATCTTGGCTGTAGCAGAAATTACACGGCTATCTGCGAATGTGAATGCTTCAGTAAACACAGCACTAAAAAAATAAGAGTTATGCATGTTTGTTATGTTTTTTTTAATTTAAGTCACAAAACACCATACTGGTGTCAAAAGGATGCAACCTATATTTTTCTAGGGTTAATCGAGAAGTCTGTAATGATTTGGTACCACAAACGATAGTTGCTAGCTAGCTAGCTAACAGCGGCAATCATCGCTTCCGCACACACTGCATAAGTGTTCACAGTGCACAACATGGCGATGTAGTAACTAAAGTATTCAATGTGAGACGCAGCAACGGTCATAACTCTACTTTATGGGAAATATTTGTGTTTTTGTTAACGATAATTCTTTCTGTTGGTGTAGGTACTACTACCAGAGAGGCATACTGAATAAAGTTGAAGGCCAGCGTCTGGTGTACCAGTTCACCTCTCTGCCCAATCATATGATCTACATCACCGATGGAGATGGCATCAAAGAAGAAGAAGAAGACGAAGACATTAATGAGGGTGTGAGCGATGACTCAGATGACAGCACCGTGCCTTCTAGCGACCAATCGGTGGAGGATGAGGAAGATTCTTCCCCACCGCAGAAGAAAACTTCGAGCTATGTCCGACCCCCGGCTCCTCAGCGGACCAGGACGGCTCCCCGGTCCTCAGCACTGCGAGACGGTGTCACGCGTTCTGCCACCAACAGCATGATCCAGGAACAGCATTTGCCTATCGTGTCAGCAGAGATGCTGCGGACCCTGCAGAACCTGCAGAAGGTCCGGTCCCTGCAGCCCGCTGGTCACGCCTCCGTCTTCAAAACCGCTCAGCTGCTGGGCAGTCTGTGCGAGCGGCAGGCTGCGGCTGAGGGGGGCGTGGATGATGCACCTGATGGAAAGTCATACCCGGGACTCAAAACGTCACAAGTGGAGACGCCACTGCTGGTGCCTTTTAACTAGCTATGACCAATAGAGTGGTGCAGCGAGCATTTATTTAGGCAAACCCGGAAATTAGCATAACAAGGGGGTCCCTCAACAACAAGCAATTGGATTTTTCCATTGGATTTTGGAATATTGCCAGAAATTAGATCATGATACTTTTTTCAGCAGGATAATATCCACATCTTAACACCACTTTTATGACTTTTGAAGCGTTAATGCAATCAGCAGAAGGGAAAAGCTATAAAAAAAAGCTATATTAGGCCATAAACTAACAACATCCATTCCTAAGACCTTGGGTTTGGTACTCTCATTTAGACACTTGTTAGCAACCGCCGTTTTTATGACACATAGAAGCTACAGACATTCACAAGAATTATATTTCCTTACGTATTTTATTTCGTAGAACAAAACCTGAAAATCTCTTCAGCTTGTGTTATCCACAGACCTTATTTCAGGCCTCTACCCAACAAAAACTCCTTAAAAACATGAAATTATTGAAGAGGGAACCAGAGATGTTCAAATGCCTACTTATTTCCGGGTTTTAGGACTCATTGCTGCACCACTCTATTAAAAAAAAAACATATACACACACACGCACGTACACTCCACTGACTCAGGACCAGTTACAGAGCTGCACTCCGCTGTGACGATGTGGCACTGATCCTGGATTATTTTTGTATTTTAGAATATATTATATAACAGTAACAAAAGTCATTCTCGATCACTGCTGCCTCCCTCACATCTGAGTTAGCAGGAAACCAAAATTCCACAACATTGAGCAGTTTATCTTGTAAGAGACTTTAAATAAAAGCTTGTGCGCCTTATCTCAGCCTTTCAATCTCAGCAGCCGTTAATCATAAGACACCAAAGACGACATGCACTGGATCCTGCAGCCGCTCTGCAGACACACCCTCCGCTTGCACTCCACCTCCAGCGCCATGGAGCCAATTATCTGAGCAGCACACTGTGGCCTCCTTCTAAGTCTTCTCTCTCGCTCTTCTTTTCTCTTTTACTATCACATGCTGAATCATTCCTCTGCCTTAAAAGTGGCTTTGCACTAATGTTTACCCCTGCTGTACGTTTCTTCTCCAAGTGCCTGACGATTCTCAGTCCATCCTGTCCCTGCTTCCTTGTAATCGTGAGGTTATTAAGGGAAAACATTCCATATTATTATTGTTTTTTTATACATTTTTCTATCAATCTAAATTATGTTTGTATTGTGACATGTTGAAAACAAGGGATCACTGTTGTTTCTAGAATCGTAATTTACCACTGCTGCCGTCTGTAGGCGATGAATTACACAGTGGATCTTGCTTTTGTCGACAATCACCAGTGAGATGGCCTTTTATTTAGACTCATGTAGAGTCACACAGCTACTATTTAGCCGTGCACACAATCTGTTCTTGTTATTACACGTATATATATGCATATATGGACCTGTAAAGCCTTGATATCTGTATTGTGTGTTATATACTGTATCTTGTCTGTGAACATGCTCGACGTTGTGCCTTGTTGCCATTTTCTCCCTCAGGTTCGTAGAAAATTAGTTTTACTCTATGCAAGGAGTAAAACGGCAGACCCTTTTTTTTTATAATGAAGTAATGCTTCTGTGTTTTCCCTTCAGTTGATCGTAGTTTAGCCTCACAAACCTCACTCCAAATTAAAGTGTGTGAGATTCAGGCCGACCGCTGTGAGGCTAAGCTTGATTCTGGAGATGCTTGTGCCTTTGCCCCCAAGGGAACCCTATGCAAAACAGTTTTCACTTTATTACCGAGCAAACCATTTATTTGGAATCCGCTCTCTTTGCTTTATCTGCAGGCCTCTTGATACTGTAAGTTTTACTGCTATTGATAAGTGAGCTTGTAGCAGAGGGAGAGGTGGAGTTTCTTTTGCCTTATTGGTGTTTGCTTTCATACAGAAACGTTGAAAAGAAAATGTTCTGTTATATGAAATAAACTTAATTTTGTCATTGTCTGTGAGAAATTCATTGTCACTCATTTATTCACCCACATGAAGTTTATCAGCATATGTGGTTTATTTATGTTCTGCACATACCAACATTTTGAGGTATTTGTACTTTATTAAAGTGTTCTGCTACATTATACTTCTATTCCTCTTTACACATCTATTTTATACTTTTTATTACATGTCAGTTCTTTTAAAGGTGAAGATACTTTGCAGATACAAATACAATGTGTTTATACAAAATAATCAATTTATTAGTTATTATATTAAGTTATAATATTATGACTTATTTTTAAGATAGTGTATTGATTCCTATGAGAAAAATTAACTAGCCGCAAAGTAGAGGAAATTAGCCCCAACTCGACTAACTGCACCATTTAAAGTGATGTACACATGAATGCATCAATAAATATGATCCACATTATTCATATTATTCTGAGGACTTTAAGTTAGTATTTTACTTAAGTTAACTTGTGAATACAGTGTTTTTATTTTATCTAAACTTCTGGCTTCTTCCACCACTGCTATTTTATAACCAGTTTAACATGAATCAATTAAAATGTGATTTACCAAACAAGAACCAGCGTTTACATTCTGATGTATTGTTATAGACCAATGAAACTACGTCATGTAGTAGAAGACAAATCAGTCGAAATTAGCTCCCCTTTTTCTCAAACTATTAAAATGTTCATACAGTCGAACAGTTTAATATGTATTGTTGAACATGTTTTTTAACATGTTTTGCCTTTTTAATATGTCTTCATGAATGTACCAAGCAATATCTCTGCTAGATTCGTGCTATTTACACCATAACCATGTCCGTTATTGTTGTCTGTAGACTAATGTGAATGTTGTACTATTATAATGTTTGTATTTTTATGTTATTTCGTGGAGAGGTTTGCTGGCCCATTAAAAGCTGCCCTGTCGTACCCCCTCCCTGCCTGTGGCGGCGCTGTGGCAGAATGGGCGCTGTGTACCCGGATGTTGACAGGCCTGCTGCTGTGGCTGCTACTGTGCCGCTATCACGTTTCCAGAAGTCCCCTCATCTTACTAGAACTTTCCTGTCACTCCAGAAACACTGCACACACCCACAGCAAACCCATGGCAACCGAAAGGCAAGTTAAACGTAACATATGAATGAGCTTTTATTACATTTTACATCATTAATTTCTCCTACTCTGGTTAACGTGTGGTCTCTCTTTTTGCTTTAGTAGCTTCCCCGATAGCTTCATTGACGAAGACCCACAGAAAGCTCTGGAGGTAAACATTACAGTTAGCGAATCATAAATATATATACTAAATATCAGATACATATTTCTTATCACATATCCTTGTTCTTCTGACTAGCTGTTTTTCAAAGGAAATGAGGGCGGTGTTATTGTTTCTGTCGGAAGCACCGGTTTTGACACTAACTAGCTAGCCCAGTTAGCTAACGTTTCCTGCTAGCATCACTGAGAATAACTTTATAGCAGTATTATTTCCACCTTTGCAGGACACTTATTTACTTAAACTTGAGCATCATTACAAATGAAATAGGTTTTAGTCATAAGGCGCTATTACTACACACTGGTTAGTGATAAGCCTTCGTTTTTTAGATATGTCATTATGTTAGCATGATTAGCACACACTGTGAACAGGTCCGACTACAAGTCAGTGACCAATTCTAATTCCTAGATGTATTGACTTGTTAAACACTTCTGCTCCTTTGTTCATTCTGTCAATAATGGAGACTGTTGTATGATATCTCATTGATACTAATCAACTGCTTTTTGACCCCAGAATAATACATTTTCTTTAAAATGCTTGTTGATTGTTAGCTGTAATTGGCCCTGTCATAGTCTATATTTGACAGATAGTCTACAGATATATATCTTTTACTATATATTTATTTTGGTTCCGTTTTATTTAGAGAGTTATTTGAGTTTGTTTATTTTCTACTCTTTTTTTAATAGTATTTATTATTTTCACATTATGTGCAATGCCTTGTTTACATGCTGCTGTGACAAAAACAATCCCAAATTAGGATCAATAAAGTAAATCTAATCTAACATAACGGTGACAGTGCAACAAATATAGAACTAAAAAAAAATATGTCAGCCCTTTTGTTAAAGGTGGGGTAGGTAAGTTTGAGAAACCGGCTCGAGATACACTTTTTGTTATATTCCATGGAATGCTCTTAACATCCCGATAGCAATGAATATCCTAAGTGCTTTGACAAAAAATCCATAAAAAAGTGTCATCTGTGGAAGCCGTAATACTGTAAAAAGCACGACCAATCATTTTAGCCGGCCCGGCTAAAATAACTGGATGGCCTACCTGCCTGTCAGCCTTCCATCTGTGCACAAACTTATCTCGTGCCCTCATTGGTCATGTGCGCGTTCGTGTGTGTTGGAGGAGGGGCTCTATAAGGAAGTGGCAGATTTTCTCCGGTTGTGTATTTTCAAATTCTAGCGATCTCGAGCCGGTTTCTCAAACTTACCTACCCTACCTTTAATGTTAGGATTCTAACATTGTGATAACTCTCTGAATCCAACAGTAATGTGAGCTGTCAACTTAAATCCCATGTCTGTCCTTGTAGGAACTGAATAAGGCCTTGCAAGGAGACTCTGACAATGCTCAGTGGTTTTGCCAGCGTGCCTATGCCCACATACTCCTCAAAAACTACAGCTGTAAGTCTGAGATGACTCGTTTTAAACAAAATACTTTAGTATGCATGAATGTTATTCTTTGCTAGAAATAAAAATGTCTTGTAAACAGTATTGTTGTGTTTTTGATAACTGCCTAATGCAGACTTTAGAAAATAACATCACCTATGAGATCCTTGAAATAATAATCTTATACCAGACAGCAATCACTAGAGGAAATTAGGGTAGCATGAATATTCATTCTCTAAGTGACACAGGGTGGATGATCGTATCATAAACACAGTGTTGTTTTCTCTCCGCAGGCGCTGTTGATGATGCCAAAAAAGCACAGCAGCTAAAACCCAGCCTTCCCCTTGCTTTCATGCGAACAGGGTGTGTACTATGATAACAAGAATGATCAATGTATAGGTGTTTCATGTATGTGTTCAACATAAGCTGCTGTTGATAGACCCTATGATACTAGTTTGTTCCGCAAAATCTCCAACCAGAGATAAAGTTTGTGAACTGTAATAGCTTTAGTTATTTTACTTATTTCACAAGGAATATGATCCAAATTGTGGCAAAATAAGTTATACCTGAGACTGTCTGATCTAAGTATTTGTTGTTTCCTCTCTTTATTGCAGAATAGCAGAATACCACCTGAAGCTCTTTGAGTCAGCACATGCAGCTTTCACTCAGGGACACCAACTCGATGGTAAGTACACTTCCCATCATCCCACTCTGTACCAAACCTTGTTTGCAACAATATCTTGTCTGTTTCACTGTCCTCTTTTAATATAAAATGATTAAACTCTGTAATTTAGCTTTACAGATTACAATTCTGTAGGAATCTCTAACATACAGATTGTATTTATTGCTTTCACTATGATTATTACATGCTTTATTAAAACTGTGCGGGCTGTGGGTCAAACTCAAGGCAAATAAATCTAGCAAATTTGTAATGTTTGTTTTGATAGTTGCATTGTGGTAGTATTTGTCTCCACCTTGTCCATTATATTTGTACACCATAAAAAAACTTAACAAAAAAAGCTCCATAGCATATAGAGTTCAGAAACAGTGCTTTTTTATAGAGGCTAAGGCTTTAATATTCTGCATATTGATATATGTATTATGATCACACACAATATATACTTGAGCATGTGTTGTCAAGCCAGATGCACCTGAATGTTTGCTACTATAATATTTTACAGTTAGCAAACATTGACCTTAAGTTGGTCTTTTATACTGTGCAAGCAGCTGCAACCAAATATTGATCATAAGAAGTGGACTTAGTCACTGTTATATTACCCACTGGTTTGTGGACTTTTGAAGCCTCAATTTTGCTTTTTGGCCGATGCAATATTGTTTGTTTGACCAGCAGTCAAACAAAAGGGTGAAACAAAGTATGAACAAACACTAGACGGCATATTTTTTGTTGATTATAATGAAAAGGTTTAAGTTAAGAATCAAAAGTGAACAAATAATAATAATTTTGTTATGAAATCTTATGGACTTCTATACAATCAGACTTCTTGTTGTAATCAGTGGACTCGCCCCTTACTGCTGGACATTAAAAATAATTCAGGTTGGCGCTTCGGTAAAACCAACAATTATTTTCAGAAGAAGTCAGTGGGTGCGTCTCACTTCGGTTATTTTTCATTTCCTCGCTCCTCGGGCTCGGTATCACCGGAAGTTGATTTGTCTGCGCCATCTTGAGTAGCGTCCCAGTGGCCTTATTTTTGACCGAGGATCGAGGAGTGATAACGGAGGAGCGATAATCGAGGAACTACCAGACCATCCTCCGGTGAACTCCTCAGACACTCGCCCCGCCTCCTTACTGTGTATCACTCACTGATTGAACGATGCAGCGCATGCACTGATCTGGCTGCTGTCAGACGATCAGCTGTGCGGCGTCATCACAAACGGACGTCACTTCACGTGACGCTCCGGAGGAAACTACGTCCCATTGCTTAAAATTAACAATTGAGACCATAAACTCGTTTTTTCATAGACTTCTTTACAATCAGACTTCTTTTAGCTACCAGTGGAGTCGCCCCCTGCTGGACATTAGAAATAATTGAGGTTGTTAAAGGCAGATTAAAAATGTTTCACTACCGACTTTTAAATAATTATAAAAAGTTTGATTCTTTCCTAGCTGGAGGTATTGCATCAAATCCTTTAGCAGGACTGAATGGGTTTGATGGCTTTGTTTGATTTCAGTTAAGTAACATCAGGCCACATGACGATGTTATAAAAGAGCTGTTGTGCTATTTAGGCCTTAAGATCAAATGTAGCCAGATTGGGTTCAGCCCGAGGGATCCCCCCAAAATAACAGATAAGCTTTCAAATGTGTTTTTTAGGAAACTAAGTGTATTAGTACACATC